GTCGGGTTGTTTTATTTCTCTCGGCTGAGGGTTAGTGCTTCCAGAGCATCTCATCGGTATGCTGGAGAGACATTGTGTTGTGTCAAATTCACATGGTTACCGAGAGGTGTGGTGCATCTGCCCCGTGGGAGACCAGCGAATGTTCAGCTCAGCATTGACCTGCTACAATTTCGGCTTTAGATAACTTTTTGAAGATTCATCGCGGTCCAGCTTGTGAAGGGATGGCTTGCTATATTCGTGAACAGTCCATTTTCCATTTTAGATTGCAATGCTTTCCTAATATTCGTGGTTTTCGTTACGTAAAATGGGTGGAAACGACACCTTAGGAATACGGTTTTGCTGCTGCATCGGGTAGCCAATGCGGTAGCCATCTGTTCAGCTTTTTCACCTCCCAATTATCCTTCATGAGGCACAATCTTTTCAATATACTTACTCCCAGTCCTACTGCTAACTATAGTGCAGTTGGTCCGAAACCATCTTCTACGGGAACCTTTAGAAGGCCGTCGTTAACAGCGAAATCATGCTCATGACTCCCCTCACCTTCACAATGGAATTCATTGAGACCAAAATGTTGGAGCCGATGTTGTGCTGTGCTTTTATTAGTGCTTCCTCGGCCCCATCCTTCAGTGTTATTTCGACTGGTCTACGAAGCACTACCTCAGAGTTTCAGCACATCGAAGTAAACTTGCCAAAATCGCTGTCTTGACACCTTTATTTCAAATCTATAAAAACCCGAAATAGCAAGCCATATTGAAACTCAAATACACTGAAGGAAAGAAGATACAATAGGCTTGCCAATGATATATAGGGCTTCAGGTCTCGAATGAAATATCAGTATAAAAATATTTCATGAATGCATGGCATCTCGAAACCCGCATTACTTTCCGAACAACCTAATAACTCCTTTACTTTTCTTGACCTTCGAGGCTGACGGCGAAAATAGTCCTTTAATCACGATTGACTCCGTGTCAGTCGAAACTGTGGGCCTCACGTGGATGCGGTAGTCTTGGCGAGAGGTAAAGCAAAGGCTACTATGGTCTCCACGATTGTTTGTAGCCGGCCGATGAATCGAACTACTCTACATTACGAACCCTACAAACATGCGGCAGAGATCACCATGTTCCTTTTCCACTGTCGTCCTTCCTTCCCTGGAGGATATTCATAGGGTTGTACGACTGTTGCTTCCAAAAATGAAAATGAAAGCGTGAAAAGCATAGCGTAGGTCAACTCTCGATTGAGAAAATTATGTGGCAATAGTTTTCAATTGTTCTCAATTTTGTTGTGATTACAGTGGATGACATCCAAGCAGCTGGGTACAAAATCCTCGACTCGCTTTACATGGTTACTGGACTGGCTTCAACAGCAGCTCAGAGAAAATCCATCGGCTATGAAACGGACAAGTAGGTTTTTGTTGGGTCGGCTAAAATTACGAACCACCACTTAAAATCAAAAATGCGCTTCGCAGAGGCCATGTTTCTTCTGATTTTCTTCTACCTACTGAGGGCTTTGCTTTCAGATAGACATCGACATTTGAAAGCTTTGTTTCAGACATCGTCCTGGCCTTGGTCAATGTCTGTCGGCTTTTGCGTCCTGTTTCCCAGTGGCGTTCCTCGAGCCCGAGTATAACAAAAATAACAAATACTCTGTACTGGCTAAGACGCAGGATCAGTCCGTTCAAGTGCAAGGTTTGATTTTTTCTACTCGTCAAGGAGCAATATTATATCTAATTTTTTTTCATTATCAGGAAAACAATCTGCTGTACAGTCCTTTAGCTGAATAATAACTTCTGTGGAACTTTCATTTATTTTTTTTCTTTTTCCATATTAACCCACTATTTTTGATTTATAGCTTCCTTTCTTAGTGCTACCATTCCGGTTCAGTGAAATAAGGGGCCGTGATGGGTGTTTTTTTTCAAAAAGCGTCATGATCTTGCCTTCCCTTTGAAACTCCAGAGACGTTTCACGGGGTTATGGACCAGTAGAGAGACTCAATGAGAGCTACGTTATGCTGGAACTAGTTATTTTTCTAGTTTTTATAATTCAAGGGCGGTGAACAGCTTAAAGGCTACCATAGTGTGGGTGTGTATGAGAACCAACCTATTATGTCATTGGCTAGAAGTCTAGCATCTGCGCCATTATTAGCTCCTTTACATGATTATGTCCCGCAGACTAGATGAAGTTAATCTTTCCTCCGCTTTCATCGTCCCAGCGAATGAATTGGACTATTACAGTCATAACCGTGGCCATCAACTGATGTGGTCGAAAATGAAAGGAATTTTTAAATAAATAAATTTCAGGAGTCTTACTCGTATTATTTGAAAACCACTTTTTGTTTCCAGAAATGCTACAGAATCTGTCCACTCACATTCCTCACATTGAAAAATTACTCACCGCTATCGAACAGGTGCGTACTGATTTATCTTACCATGTTGAAATTATTTCACTTCTTACAAGATATCATTTCTTTACTCCTTAGCTCGCAATGCTGCTCTGAAACTTACTTTCCCTAGTGACAGTTGGCGTTGCCTTCTACTAGTTATCCTCAGCGGGCATCGCCTAACTTTGCTAAGGTGTCGCTTTTTATGCTTATAGTCATCTTTTATTTCTTCCGCGTTACTGTAAGTCCTTCCTGCACTGAAATCATATTACATTTTCTTAATTTTCTCGCTTCACTTCTCGCTATTTCTCCCCTTTCGCTTGCGCTTCTCAATGTCGTTAAATGTATCTGATCTTCCTTTTAATCGTGTCGTATGATACTATTAGTACAACATTTCTGCAGGTATCCAGCAACGGCATAACGTACGCCGAGCAGCCAAACGTCTACGATGTGGACTTACCACTGATGTGCTCATACTTGGCGTACTGGTTCAACCAAGGCCCAGATGGTCGTAAACCAGAAAAAACCGAGGAGAAGGAGCATAAGCAATCGTGAGCTACATCAGCTAGCATTTTTGTCGTCGATTCCAACCAGTGGTCAGGCGTTGAGCGTAAAATGAAGACCATTGCGTGAACTTCCCCTTCTACTTTCCTGGTGCGAACTTTCCCACTGCCTTTTGAACAGTTCAGTGTACTTGCCGTGGGAGTCTCACAGGAGCCTGCGTTTTCAACTATTCGCATGAGAGTATTGAATGAAGGGTTGCGGCAACTTGGAAATATTTCCCAAATATTTCCGAGTTGTCTCTGGACGAAGCATAAGCTTCATCTTGTCGTCATACCAACCCCTTACACGTGTCTTTATGCGCGGTCTTTTTGAGGGATCTTTATACGAAATGTGAGGTTTTGTCTATGATTCATCATACTGTCTCAGCATTGTAAAGTCTTCTGTGTCCTCTGTTTTTTTCTCTCTAGATGCCTAAATCCGTTTTGTGAAAGAAAAGATGTTACATATCAGACAGGATAAAAGTTCATTTTAGGCTGCCGATGACTTCGGTCAGTGCGGAGCACATCAATCGGATTTTCTGCGCTCTTCTACGCATGCTACGAAACCATATTGGTGTTGAAAACGCCCCATGGCTGTGTCGTACAAACTGTAAGTGACTTATTGCTGCTGGCTATTCTTGAGAAAAATTGTAATATCATTGTGTTCCGAATTGAGTTATGGCGCCAAATATATTCTTGTCAAAAGGCCAGATAAATTCGGAAACCTTAGAAAAAATTCGCGCTTGCCATTCAGGGTAATGAATTCGCAAGTAAAAACTGTGATAGAAAACTAGCGTAAATAACTCTGATATTTCAGAAAAAGAGAAAGAATTTCGAGAAGAATAAAAAAAATTTCCAGAGAATCAGAGAAATTGTCATCTGGAATTTTATAAGGTGTCACCAATAGTTTTTAAATCCTGACTTTTTTAGTCTTTGCTGTGCAAATCATCCAGAATGTCACCTGTGATCCAGTGAAGGACTATATTCTGCCAATTGCCGAACGACTGAGAAGAATGAGTGAAAAGGCGTTCAAGGAGGAGGAGCACATGCGAACACATCCTGATAGACGCTGAGAAGGAACAGTCCAGAGGTGAAAGCGATAGTGCCGGTCCCCACTGGCACTAACGGTACGCGGAGATCAGCATTGCTTTACGTTGTCTTCCCCAAGAATGATACCGGGCCAAAAAAAAAGAGCCCAGGTTGTACTTCGGCCTTTTTTCTCTTCACAGAGATTGTCGTCGTTGACGAAAGTTCCTCAGCAAATGTTCCCTAAATGTCCTCTATAAGTGCACGCAGCCCTCACCGTCTTCAGAATATGACGTCATCTGTCACCGTCGTCGAGCTCAGGGAGGCCTACAGTAACTGCTTCAGCCTGAAGCTCTTACATAATTTCTTGGATCGATTCAACGTGGGATAGTTTCCTAGGGACATTAGCTCTAACTATGCAAACCCCTCGGAACCCGCCCTTCGGAACCCGTCGTAACGGTACACGATCAGTCGAGAACCCCATTGAGCTCGACCAGAGCACCATGTTTCCGGGGCAAATTTTCTGATGCCGTCCACGTAGATGGCCACTATGAAGATTATGAAATGGAATCGCTCTTCTAAGTTGAGAGCACACCCTTTGAACCAAGAAAAGTGTGATTAAATCCATTTTAGTCTGGAGACAAAATGTCTTTTTTTTTATTGGTCCCCACTGTATATAAGAGATGGAACCTCCCCTGCTTACGCTAACATTCCGGATTTTTGAAACGGTCGATTTCTCCTGTGTTTTTGAGTATTTCTGATCTTCACGCAGGCTTATAAGCAGATGGCGCGCTGGGTTGGATGTTAATGAAGAGAAATATGCTTACCAGTAACGGAGTCTGGGCAGCTAGGGGGGGAGGGAGGGAGCAGTGAAGCATTTGCAGAGAAGGGTGCCCCTTTTGCGACGTAGAATTCTTCACCAACCACTGGGAGAGCCTTCGTGCTCCATTTGGCCCTCCATTTCGCTGCCGCCGGCGCTAGTTCCTGCGACCGATGGATGTACCTCGTTTTCCGAACACATAGCGTGCCAGGCATTCTCCCTTTGATTGATCCCGACATCCTTGGCCTGTTTTGTTCCGGAGCGAAATTGCGGGGTACGACAAAGAGTCCCATTAACGAAATTGGGCGCATTTTTCCAGGTTTTTCCTTAATAGGTGAGTCATCCTTGGACGCACTGTTCTTCCAGTCAAACGGCTTGCCGGTCAACGGTCTCAGATGTGTGCCGTCAAATTTGTAGCTCCACTGCAGTGCGTGGGCAGATCTGTCATTATTAAACGTTCAGTCACAAGAATTCCGGACGATGCTTATCGTTTCTTGCCATCCAAATGAATTCACTGAACAAAAGTTGCTGTGATCTTTCTCTCGTCACCACATACACCCGCCTGACACTATCGCAAGTGCTTCTAACAGCAACAAAACGTATTCCACCTCTGGTTGCCTGGCAGAACTAAGATGTTGCCTTTATTCGTATTCACTTAGACTAAGATCACGTCTGCTGAACTACCGGTATTTCACTGCGATCGCTAAGTCTGCATTTAAAGATTCCACGACAAGGTTCCAGGACAAGTACAAGGAGAGAGCGTTAAAGTTGAAGAATGTATCACCGATGAGAGTCGCATCAGTGCGGAAGTGCAAAAAGAAGGGCCCACTGCTCGGCTTTTGGTCGTTTCTGGTGTTTTCTTCATTTCTGCCTGATGGGCTGCGTTTTCATCCTAAATCCGCCTTCAAGTCACTGCAGTAGCCAATGCGTAGTTAGGTATTCCACACGATTGCTTCTACAGAAGCAGCACACAAGGCATCTGGGATGATTAAAGCCGACATTCACGATTTACTTTTAATGTTGGAGCTGTTTCAGGATAACGCTCGTCTAGTCCGTGACACGTACGCGTACTTCCCAATATTAATGAAGTACACCGACTTACATCGTGCTCAGTGGCTAAAGGTCTGGTTTATAGCTGTAATAGTTTCATAATTTGACTTTTTTGTTTATTACTGTCACCTCTTGCATTACCTACTGCCTTGTCAACTCCTCTGTTCAGGCTCCGTCATGGGAGACTGACGGCGTTTACGAAAACGTTGCGGTGATCTTCCGTATCTGGAGTCAAAGTCAGCACTTCAAGGTGGGTGCTACAATTAGGAAGTGAAGGTCCATATTACTGGATAATTCAGCAGCGACAGAAATTTCAATGCTTACATAGTTTTGTAGGATTTGTTCAGATTTGCTCCTTGGACTGATAATTAAGGACAAGCGTTAGTGAAATTGCTATGAAAATGTTTTTCAAGCATGTCTCTGACTGAGCAGAAAGCGAGTCATCAAGCAACAGTGCATTGACCTTTCACTGCGAATTTGCATCACTGCTAGCTGCACTTCGTGTCTCGAACCGGCTGCAGTGGCTGCACCTCGACCGCCATATGAACGAGCTCTTTGCCATGGCACGCAAGAGAGCGGGGAGGACGGGGGAGGGGGAACAGATCCTTTTAACTCCTTCTAAAGAACCACTTACCGAACTCGGCAAGCAAACTTACATTAGGCGGCTGTGTAATGTGAATACAGAGATGATAATAAAAAAAAAAGGATAAAGCATTTGCCGTTGATCAATCCCGTTTTGGGATGCGGCACGCATTCTACTTCCATTTGTACATTCGCAGTGGCATTTGAATGCGATGTGGCCTATACAATGACTTGCGGGGGCCAGCCGATGTTCAAGTCAGTGTTTTTTTATCCTCCATAATTGTTTTTTTTTATCCTCCCAGACAAGTCTGGTACCAATTAACCGACCCCGGAGGGATGGAAGGCTTGGTTGGCCCGGGCGACTCACGACCCAGGATTTGATCCCGGACCGCTCGCGTGGTAAGCGCGCCACTTGTCCACTACACCACTTCCGCCCTGAGATGTACATATATCTCAAAAATGACCATGGCAAACTGGAGCCTTCAAATTGTCGGCACAAGGTACCATGGGCGAGCTGCCCAACATGCCTACATTGAAAGAATTCAAAGACGAAAAAGGTTTCAATTCCCCGTGAAGTTGTGATTGATATTTTTGCCTCGAGGTTGGTAAATGGAATAATTTTGTTCTAGCCAACGTTTCGACTGACTCATTGTTTTCTAAGGCCTTACTTCCACCTCGCAGTGTAGCGGGGACAGCAGAGCTACACACAGACCTATTAGCGAACTCTGAAGTAAAATTGCACACTAAAGCTAAAAGATATTGAAGCACCAGATACGCTACACCTTACAGTAGGTAGTAGGCCTTAGAAAACGACGGGTCAGTCGAAAAGTTGGCTAACCATAAAAAAAATTCTCACCTACATACCAATCTCGTGATAGAAGCATAACTGCAATTGCAACAACAGTTACGAGCATGCCAAGGTTGCTAGATGAGAGGAGGTTGGAATTTTCCCAACAAGTTTCATAAGATCTGACATGCGAAGACTTTTGCGAAGATTTCGATCACGTTTTTTTAGCGCGAAGAATTGAACTACATGGCACAGTTTGAAGAGGACGCAGCAATGGTCGGTGGTGGTGAGATGAAGACCGGCAAAGCAGCCATTGCCGAGCGAAAAAAGAAAAGGAGAGAAGGACAAGTAAGTATAAAACTTTTTGAAGCGAAAATTGATGAAGGACGATTTCTGTTTCTGCTATTTCCTATCCTATCCTGTTCCTACATACACACATATGCTTCGCGGTGTTTCATCTTTTTCAAATTGGAATCAACAATTCAAATTCTGTGAAGTGAAAATATGTTTCCTATTCTTTCACTCACCATCAAAACTCACCAATACATAGTTTCAACGCTAACGTTTCCTTTGAGACTTCGCAGGATGAATACTTCCTCCCTTGTCCCTATATAAATTTTCATGGTGAAGGTTTGGCGATATGCCTAAAAAAGATGAGGTAGTGGTGTTCTGAAGCCAATTCACGCTAAGCCTGGGTGTAGAGCGCTCAAGGCTCCAGTTATAGGTGCTTTTGATTCGCCATCTATGAAAAACAAGGAAAAAGTGCCTGAGCTAAGCGGAGCTCTGTGTGAATAGAAGTTTGAGGAAAGACGTATTTACGTTCAGTTGTTCTCGAGCGACGTTTTCTGTATTGCTTTAGTAATTTTGGCAGCTTGAGCAATTCCATGTTTTGCTGTTAGGTGTGCTTGGCCTTCCCACTACAGTATTGAGATTGCACAAAAGGATATGAACAAATTTTTGCCCAAGCGTGACTTGGAACTACACCTCTCGCTTACCGGGCAACTGCTCTACAAGTTACGCTACCGGACACCGTTTCGCCGTAACTCAGCTTTTCAATGTATATTTACCTACGCTATCAGCACCCACACGTCTAACGTTATGAATCGATCAGCTGCATCGGTACTGTAGCGCTCTTGCCCGGAAAGCGAGAGGTGCGGGTTCTAGTCCCGCCTGGGGCGAAAGTTTTGTTCACAACCCAGCATTCTTGTGAAACATTCGCAACGCGAACTGCGGCGTTAAAACAGCAGTTAACAAACAAAACATTGAGATTTAGCTGGTTTCCTTGGCACAAGTTGATCGGCCGTAGGGTGCTTGGCTAGCTTGTGGCAGGCCCTAAAAAACTTCTTGCCTCTCAACTTTAAACCATAAAATCGACATAAACCGACCATTTTTCTAAAAAATTGATCAGTTACTAATAAAACTCTCACTGACTCTTATGCGCCCATTTCTTTTATCATATTTGACAATGATGGATTTCGGCCTAGGCTTTCCTCAGTGCTAAATTTCACTTCAACAAAGTATTGCGTATTTCTGAAACCTACACTTATATTCTGTTTTTTTTTTCACTATTCAACTGTATTTGTTTACATCTGCCTTCCTTCTTCCATGTCTCAGTTTTTTTGTACAATCTTGTTTCGTTGTTTTGCCTTTGTTACTATTTCGCTATCAGTTCGATAAAATGCGCGATGCACGAGATCCAAAGTGTCTGGTGAGTTCTGTGTAGTGCGATGTGGTTGTGGTAACGTGGCTTATGATTTGTTTGATAATTTTTGATAATTAACAATTTGACGGATTTCAGGTGAAAAAGG